TGCAAATGCATACATGCTAGCGCAACTAAGAAAAAGATAATTATTAACAAGTCAAACTTATTTATTTTTTCTTTTCTTTTCAAAAAGACTGTTGACACACTTTTTCTGGCTCGGAATATGTTTTCTTTTTATGTTTAGGTAGACAATTATTAAGGCGAGTTTCCACTCATCCGTTTTTTCACAGGAACGTGAAAGGGACGGGAAAAATAATCATGTGGGCATGCGTAGTATAAGTTTTAAAATGTCCAGAGGAAAACTACACATGCTCACGTGATTATTTTTCCCTTCCCTATCCCGTTCCCGTGAAAAAACGGATGAGTGGAAACGCACCTTAAGAACAAAAATAACAGGATGAGCATATAAGAAGAAATATATATGTTTTTTAGAATGAAGGATCAGCAACAGCTCGTTTAGAGTCACTAAGTATTAGTTTTCTCTTTTGTTGTTGACATAGATCATGCTAGGTTGTACATATATAAAAAGTATATTTATAAACTAATGTAAGTACATAGGTTTAACGCTGTTAAATCAATCAGGAGTTAAGTTTTATGATGCTCATAAGTAGTCCATAAATACTATACTATACATAAATTAAAAATCACTACAAAGCTTCTTTAAACAAATAAACTGATGCAAGTAAGTTCCAAGTGACATAAAACGGTTCAAACTAACAAACTGGTATCACGCAATATATGTTATTATTTTAATAAACTCAAAAATAAATTGGCCATTATTAATGCAGAGCATGGCCGGAAGCCATCTTTACCGCCGCAAAAAAAAAAAAAAAAAAAAATTTGTTTTAAAATCTTGCTCTACTCGTTTGTTAAGTCACACCAATTTAAAATCATGGAAACAACATCATATAAACATATATACTAACTATAAAACACAGGCGGAGGTGTATTTGATTCACGGGGTCTAGGGAGAGTGGTATATCTTAGTGAATTTCAATTGAAAAATGGCTAAAATAAATCATCATTTTAATCACTTATGAATCAAATACACCATTTCATACTATTATAAAAACACATTTATAAAAACACATTTAAATAAACACATTTATAAAACAACTATATAACATATATCACCACATACACGTATTTATCAAAAACTTTTCAACTTTGAGCATAATATAAACATATATGCAAACTTTTAACAACTATAAAACAACAAAATATACATATAGATATAGAGAAATGTAAAATGAAAATGACTATAATAAACGTCTTATTTTATTTAACTTTTCATATTAAATACATAAATAAAATTTTATTCTCATTATTCTTTATACAAAAAAATAATACTAATCTATAAATAAGAAAATGAATTGAACTTACAAAAAAGACATAAACTCCTCTTAACTGCACTAAAAACAATACTTATTTAAAATGTTCTAAAAAGACTAACTACAAAACTGAAACAGTTTACTAAAATAGAAACATTGTACTAAAAAGACTATAGGCTATAAAAATTAAAAAAATAAAAACAATCAACAGCAAACAAACGATTATTTAAATTTTTATTTTAGTTTTTAAACAATAAATAACATCACTTCTCCTTAAAACTAAAAATATTTAAGCTCTAACTTGCTTGAAGACCTTGCTCGAAAGACCGCGTGGTAGATATAACCGCATGCAGAAAACCCTAGAAACTACCTTAAAAACGAAAGTGAAACGACAATAATAATATTCACTGCTGTATTTATATTTAGATTAAGTTGAATTTTTAAAGTGCTGCAAAGAACATTAAAATCTTTTAAAATAATAATTTACATTGAAATCTTTTAAAATAATTTTGACAAAAAAAAAACTTAGTAGGAAGAGGGGTTCAGTTTAATAAACTGAACCCCTCTTCCTACTAAATTTTTTTTTGTCAAAATTATTTTAAAAGATTTTAATGTAAATTCTTGTAAATGTATTTATGGGTCATCTATAAACTTTATGGATGACTCATAAATACATTTACAAACAATTTGTATTACTTAAACAAAAATAAGAAAGAATATAACTGATTTTGTTGTCTAAATACAAGTATTTATAAAATTCTTATTTTTATTTATTTATGTGTATTTAAATGTCAACAAAAATAGGATTAAATAAATGTAAAAGCAATATTATAGATAATTTTAATTAACATGAAAAAAATATAATTTTTTTCTTCTAAATTTTTCTAATATAAAATGTTTCAGTTAGAAACTCGGCATACATATTTTATTTTGAGAACGAAACTGCGTCATAATTTTAGCAAATGCACATAGTTATAACTTAAGTTACACAATTTTAAAACAAAAATGTGCTCTAACACAGCACCTTTATTCAAAACTTTTAATTTAAAAGTGTAACATTTAATATTCTTTTGCATGTATTATTAAAAAACTTAAGTTTTTATTTAAAATTTAGAAAAATATAAAACTTTATCATGTTTTTCTTAACTTACATTATATGAAAATTGTAAATATATTTATTTTATAATGTATAAAATCTGACCAATAACATTTAAACATGTTAGCTCCATTTTCATGATAAATTAGTTCCAGTTATGCAAATAAACTCATGGTTTAAATAACATTTTACAATGATACCTTTTCTATCATGCGACTATTTATTTGCTTAAAAGTTGATGAAGAAGAGAATACAATTTGACTAAATTTTCATTTAGTCAAATTTTTTAAATATACATATATATATATATATATATATATATATATATATATATATATATATATATATATATATATATATATATATATACATATTTATGTATAGGCGTGTCTTTCCATAAAGTAATATATCTATCCACACTCTGTCAATTGTTATCTTGCCTTATAAACTTTTTTTTTTCTTCTAGTAACTTCCAACTCTAATAGTGGTTGCTTGCAGATTTGTTGAAAGTGAGGAAGTTAAGAAAGAAAAAAAAACTGATATTTTTTTTTCAGGGGGCATCCGAAAAATTCCATAAAAATCTCTGGTTTAGTACTCTCACCACTTAACATAATATTAATTTTTTAAACTCGTCAACTTCTATATTTTAGTTTAAAAATAAGAGTTAATATTTCGAAAGAGAAACCGCGTACGTGTTCACTGTCTTTAACAAACACACACGCACACGCACCCTTGTCCATATTTATATCTTTTTGTGTAACCCCTCCCTACATACCTGCATACATACTTTATGAACGACCCCTTACAATTAATTTAGTGTTGTTAATACGAAAAACTTGAAAGTGAAAAAGTTACTGGTTTCTGTCAGTATTTAGTTACCATTAGATAAAAAATTTAATAAATATGAATTCAATATTTAAATGAGTATATTCAGAACACTATAGTTGATAATACAAATTATTATAAACTTATTCATTAAAATTATTAACAAAAAGTTTATTTAATGCAACATTTTAAAAATAAATATAAACCCCAGGCTATATTGTTATAAAGAAAAAATTTGCTTTTACATTATTTTGCTTTCATGACCTTACAACTCAACCAAAGCAGTTTCCATGAATTTACAATTTAGGTGTTTAAAAAATGTTTAAAAAAAAACAAAAAACGTTTCTTCTTTTAAGTTATAAATTTTTATAACTCAAAAGCAGAGGTGTGGAGTCGTAAAAATAAAGTAACGACTCCGACTCCAGTTGTTGAAATTTTTTGAGCACAACTCCAACTCCGACTCCAACTCCAAAGCAAAATTTAAAAAAAAAAAAAAAAAGTTTTTTTTAGACAAATTTATGAAACGTTCTTTGAGTTTTAGTATGAACATAAGCTTAATTGAATGTTTTGTACATGTACGTGCAATACCGAGACTTTTTACTATTGGAGTCGCAATTTTGTTTAGCGACTCCGACTCCGACTCTGAAAATGTTGCAACTCCGACTCTGACTCCACAGCCCTGCTTAAAAGTAAAAAAATCTTTAAGAAATAGAAAATGAAAAAGATTTTATATAAGAAATTTAAATTCGAAGTGTATAAAATTTGATATTGTATTATAATTTGTTTTTTAAAATTTTTGAAAAAATATTTTAAATTATAGGAAATAAAATAAAAATGTTTTTATTTGATTAAGTAATTATATAAACATACTTTGTAAAGTATGTTTATGTAATTACTTTATCAAATAAATTAACAAATTATTTCAAATGATTGTTTACAATAAACTTGTTTTATTAAATTTATTAGAGAATATTGTAAAAAGCTTTATTTATATAAATATATATTTTTTAAGATTATTTTAAATCTTTTCAAACTTCTATAATTAATTTTATAAACATCATTCACTTCTAAAAAATTTAGGCGCAAAAACGTTAAATAATGTAACTCAATTTAAATAGCTAGATAAATGGTACTGGCTTCTATAAGTAACTAAAACATTACCATTTTTATAAAATAACTTAGAAGGGAGTCTTAAAAGCTAAAATTGTTGTTGATATTTGTATGAACTATCAAACAAAAAACTAAATAAATACTAAAATATAAATTTAAATAATAATAATTGTATTGTTTAGATATAAATGATTTTGTAATGATATAAATTATCTTATCGTAATGGTATATATGATATCATAATTTTTAAAAATTTTATTGTTTTGATATAAATGATAAAGCAAGGTTATTTAATTCGAAAATCTTTAACACATTAGCATATTTAAAAAAATGAATAATCTATAAAAAATGATGCACTTTATTAACATAACTGTGTAGTCTATTTTATTTTCTGTTATGTATAAAATATAAAAAGTTTGAAAAATGAAGTTTATATTCAATACCAAATTTACTAATAATTTTGAAACACCTAAAATAATTATAAAATAAATGCATACATAATATGAATCTGAAAAAAATGACTGGCAGATGATGTTTTTTACCAGACAATGTATGACAATTTAAGCCTATATTTTATATTTATATGTGTGTGAGTGTCTGTAAAAATTGAAGTAAAAAAATTCAAAACTTCAAGCTTTGTAAATAAATTTACAAATTTATTGTATTATTTATCTTATTTTTTAGATATTCATAACAGCAAAAGTAAGGTAAACAATATATCAACACATGTAAAAATTTGCTCTGGTGGGAAACCATTCAAATGCACTTACTGCGATTATGAATGCATACAAAAATATAATTTAGTAAGACACGTTAAAATTCACACTGGTGAGAAACCATTCAAATGCACATACTGCGATTATGAATGCACACAAAAAACTCATTTAACGAGACATTTAAAATTTCACTCTGGTGAGAAACCATTCAAATGCACTTATTGCGATTATAAATGCACACAAAAAAGTACTTTACCAAGACATGTTATGACTCACACTGGTGAGAAACCATTCAAATGCGCTTACTGCGATTATAAATGCGCACAAAAAAGTGATTTAACAAGACATGTTAAAACTCACACTGGTGAGAAAAATTAGTTAATCAGACATGCAAATTAGCAACTAGTGAGAAACTTTTAATATGTACTTAGTGTGAAAAAAAAACTGTCAATATTTGTACTGATTAAAAGCAAATATAGTTTTTACCGTAAGTTTGTGTTGTATTAATCAGGTTAAATAAATTTTGTGATGTGCATAATATAAACAGGGCCTGAAATAACAAACTTTTTTCTAGCGTGTATTTGTCCGGTTAAGAATCAAGTTTTCCGAACATGTCCAATGAAAATTAAAAAAGTGCGATCGGACGTCAAGCCTGAACTTGCCTTAATTGTTTTGTTTTTACAATTTGTCCACGCAACTTGTATTGACAACTTTTATAAGATAAATTATTTATAAAAAAAAAATCATAAAGATATAGAAAAATCTAAGCTCAAAAAGCTAAAATTTAAAAAGGAAACTATATTTACATTACGTTTTTTAAAAATTTATATTATGCGAATTGCTTTGTAAATTGTTATATACATAAATTATTACATAAATATATTAAATACTTAAGTTATTATATAAATATATTAAATACATAAATTATGTAATTAATAAATACATAATTAAATATGTAATAAATATGTACAATAAAAAAAAATTATTAAATGCATCAATTACTAAGTAAATATATATTAAATACATAAATTATTAGGTTACTTAGTTAAATGTTACTTATTACTTTATTAAATAAAGTAACAAATTAATTCTAATGTTTACAATAAGCACATATATTTAAATTATCAAAGTATCATATTGATATTTACATTTACATAATTATGAACTTTTTTTAGATGTAATAGTTTTAAACTTTTTCTAGGATTAATTTTATTAACACTTTTAATTGTAAAAACTTTTAGCTCAAAAACAAACGTTATGTAACTCAAATTTAATAATGTAATTACTGGTTTCGATAAGCATTAAAAAATCACGTGAAAATTATTATAAAAATAAATTTAAAAGCGATTTTGAAAGCTAAAATAATTGTTTGAAATTTATATAACCATCGGACAAAAAAAATAAAAATACTTAACTATAAATTTAAATTAATAACTAATTGACGTTTTTTATATGAATGATAAAAACCGTGCTACTTAATTCGAAAAAAAGTAATGTTTTATTTACCGTGTTTTTTATTAGCCGTGTGTTCAACTTCGTATAAAAAAAAGTTAAAAAAAAAAGTTTATATTCAATACTGAGTTTATTAATAATTTAGGAACAACTAAAATGATTAGAAATTAAATGCATATAAAATATGTCGGACAAAATGATCGATGTGGTTTTTTACTGGACAAGTGCCTGACAATGTCCGATGTCCAGCGTCTATTTTAGGCCCTGTGCATAAGTATCTGCCATTAAATAATGCATTTTTTTTTTTTGTTATTGTTGATATTTTTATTAATGTTCATAAGTATACTGATGAACAAATTCTCAAAATAAATAGAATTGCTAAAAATCAATTGATTTATTTGTATAGTCCTTTGTTATTACTTGTTTTTTGACTGGTTTGACAATATTGCTCATTAAGTCACAAAAGCATTGTTTTTATTAATAGTTACACAAAGTTGTTTAATTTTTAAGTTGTTAAATATATTGGCTGACACTCGGTACCAATATTCCAAAATGTCTCAAATTTTGAAAATGTTATCGTTTTGTTGTAAAATGTTCTAATTTATAATTTATATCTAAAATTGTCATAAAATTTCTAAAGATTTTTAAAATAAAAGTTTAATGTTTACAATAATATATTTATAGTAATAAAGTTTTGTGTGTATACATACTGTTTATATACTGTGCATTAAGTTATGATATGATTTGTGTTTATTACTTTATTACAATTTTCTTTTTAAAATTGTTTTTAAAGTAAGGAGTGGCGTCTTCATTTATTTGACTTTTTTTTTTGTACTAAATTATAATATTTTAAAATAAGTTTACAATATTTTCTATAATATTATAATTTCATGTTATAGTATCTCCAATTATAATAATTTAATACATGATATACTGTTCCAGCAAACTTAGCATGCTTGCTTCATGCATGGCTCACCATTGGTGCCATGACTGACCCATCATCCGCCTATAAGCATAAGCCAAGTGTTGCTCACCGTTTAATGCATGGTTCATGCATGGCAGCCGTTTTTTGACTAGCGTTTAGACGTCGCTTACCCAGTGCTCATTTTTATGTTATTTTTGGTTCCTTTTTTTTTTTTTAATTAAATTACTTTTAACGAGCGTTGCTTTGCCATTGCTCGTTTTTATGTTAATTTTGCTTTATTATTTTCATTTTGTTACTTTTATTTATAACTAATTCTTAGTACGTAGGAGAATTTAAAATAAGAAGAATTCCTCATTCTTCCTTTGTTCTAAAATCTAATCTAAAATGTAATAAATTCTGTCAAGAGTTTGTTACACCATTCAACACCTGCTTTATATCCAGCTTTTGATGCACCATTCAACATCTGCTTTATATCCAGCTTTTGATGCACTATTCAACATCTGCTTTATATTCAGCTTTTTCATGATTTCAAAGTTTGACTGTTAAATAGATAAAAATATATCTTAATACTTTAAACTTTTCTAATATAGGTTTAGTTTTACACATGTCGTGTCACATTTTTTTTCAGTTGATCATCCACATCAATATCATCAAAAATTTGTCGTTTAAGATCGACAAAGTTGGTCGATGATAAAACAAGCCTGGCCATCTAATGACTAATGACCGGATTCACTGGCGCAGTGGTGCCGGTCATCAACCAATGAATCCCATGCATGGCAAGTTTACTGGGATATTGATATTCATTTATTTAAATTATTGATTTGATTATTTATTTTGTGTACAATCTTGAATACACTTAAGTTAATTACATTATATTTTATGTATATACAAGTTATATTGCATGTTAGGCTGAACTGTCTGGTCTGTCATACTGAAACAGTTGTTTCAAATCTGTTGTGGGCTTCTGTATATACATTGACTAACTAAATAGAAAAAAAACCTTAGTCACATGCAAGTAGTGCATTTGACTAAGAGTTTGTTTTGGGGTAGCAATCTTTTTTTATTCTTTTTTATTTTTTTATTTTTTTTTTGAATTATTCTTTTTTATTAAAAACTGCTGAGTCACATTTTAAAAATTTTAAAGTTGTTGCCTCTTGAGTATATAAATTTATATACATAGTATATACTAAATTACATTTTATGAGAAAAAAATCATTATAAGGAAAGAAAAATTATTTGAATAGTAAAAGAAAAACTAAAAAAACAAAAACTTTCACACGACTGTGTCAGAGTGCAAATGCGCAAGATTTAAGTGTTTTGAAATTCTAACAGAAGTTTATTAAATATTTATTGGCTAAGTTTAACCCTCTGTTGGGCACGATCAAATTGTACAATTCATTCATTTTTATCTTCTTTTACTGTTCTACATCATCAAACATGTTTAAATCACTTTATATGAATTTATTTTTATCATTTTGTTCAAATTGATGCATTGCACCCATGTATGTTACATTTTATAAGTTCGATTATAATAAAGAAAATCTGGTAAATACATTTTTAAGTTTGTGTCATAGTTTAATATTATTTATTTTCAATTCGACGGAGAGGTACTTTTTTAATTGAATTATCAAATTGATATATTGTGCCTCTGAGCGTTGGTTACAAGTTACAAAAGTTTTTATTCCAAAAGGTTGGATAATAATCTAGCCTTTTGTACTTATAAATAAAACATTTTTTATTTATATTTAAAAATAATATTTTAATTTGTTCATCTTTTCTTTTTAATATTATAGTAATCTCTCCTAATTGCCTTTAAAATATATGATAGAGTGAGATTATTTAACCTTGAAAGTTCAAAAGATATAGAGGAATTTCAATTAAATCTATTAGATAAAGAAAAAGAGATGGAGAGTTTTGAAGATACAGGTGTTACACATGCAGAAGACACCACAGAGTTTCATCAAGATGATTCAAATACAGAAGAAGAACTTGAATATATTGGTTTTAATGAAACAATTTTTTATAACATTTTTGGAAAAGACACTAACTGTAAATGGAATAAATATCCATTGTCTAGCAGAGTGCGTATTGGGAGCCATAACCTAATCAGAAAACTCCCTGGAGAGATTGGTGCAGCAAATTTAACTAAATCCCCTATTGAATGTTGGAGTTGTCTGTTTAGTGACGATATTTTAAATTAATATCTTCTACTGTACAAAATTCTATATTGAAACCACTATTATCCAATTTCATAAAAAAAGGGATGTAATAAAATTTGGTTTGGTTGAATAAAATGTATTTATGGGTCTCTTATTTCTAGCTGGTTTTATGGCAAAGTTTGCAAGATCTATGGGGATCAGGCAGGGATGGAATAGAAAAATTTCATTTAATAATGAGTATCAAATGTTTTAAAATTTATTGTGTGCTGTCTTCGATTTAACTTCTAAGTAACTCGTTTTGAAAGATAAGAAACAGAAGCTCGCACCAATCTAGGAAATCTTCGAATGTTTGTAGGAATTTGTAAAAAATGCTGTACTTTAAGATAAAACGTTTGTATTGATGAAAAATTAGAATCATTTCAAAGTAACTGCAATTTACAATACATATCTAAAAAACCTGCAAAATATGGACTGCTAAAATTTACGCACTCGTTGGCTGTCGGATTTTCTATCTATACAACTTAGAAATTTTTTGCTAGATTGCAGTCAGAAGGAATTTATTGTAAAATTTACAAACCTGTTAACAAATCTGATCGAAATATCAAAGATGTTGTGCTAAGGCTTTGCAAACCTGTTAACAGATCTGATCGAAATATCACTGCAGACATTTGGTTTACATTAAAAAGTAATGGATTGACCCTGTGGTAAAAATTGAAAAAAAAATAAACGTCAAATTCCGAAAGAGCTTATTGCAAAGAAAGAAGGAGCTATTAGAAGCAGCATTTTCAGGTTCATAAAAATATGATGTTAGTATCTTATGTTCCTAAAAAAGGAAAATGTGTCAGTTTACACAAAGATGATTCAATTTTTTTTTATACTTGAGACAAACTTAAGCCTTCTGTTATAACATTTTGTAACAAAACCAAAGAAAAGTCAAATTTTTGACTAAACATCTTAGTTTGCCAACATAAAAATATTTATTGTATAGGGAGTAGAAGGTATAGTTTCTCTCTATGCACACTTATGCATAGGCGTCCGCAGGTTTTTTTGATGTTCTAGATAAACCACTTCCATACATTGTGCAAACTCCAAACTTAAGTATGTTTATTCCTATGCCATTTGAAGAGGCCTTGCAAAAAATGGTTTTTATTAGAGGGCATTAATGCTTGCATCCCCCTCAAATGCTTGCATCCCCCCAAAAAATAAACAAATGAGAGGCGGTACATTTTGCATCGACATTATGTAATTTACAGTATTTTTCAACGAAATTTAAATTCTGTCAATAAATTTGAATTTAGTTTTAGATCGTTAAATTAAAGATTTTACTACATAAGTGTCCTCACGTTTGAGCAGAGGGTAAGCGTTTCAGGGCTGTTTGTTGACAGGTCTCCGCCATCCCAATTTTTTACAAGGTCTCCTCATTTGGCATAGGTATAAACATACTTAAGTTTGGAGTTTGCACAATGTGTGAAAGTGTCGTATCCGGAACATCAAAAAATCCTGCAGGCGCCCATGCCACCCCTTATATACTGGCCCTGAGTATACTCAGGGCTAGTATATAAAGGGTGGCATGTGTGCTTGCATGTGCAAAAAATAGGTGGCCTATTTTTTAAGACAACAAAAAACAGGTTTTAGCAGTGCAATGGCTAATAGGTCAGAGACACCCCCTCCCCTCAAAAAAAAAACGTGTCATTAGGGTCTCAAAACCTTATAAATTTTACTGCTAGGTTTTGCTAAAATAAAATAGCAAAAGAGCATAAAATTTGCTGCTCCCCCACAACACCCCACCCCCTCTAATTATGGGGTATGGGTAGCCTACACTCGGTACTGGGTTTTAAGCTTTGTTTTCAATATTACTCTTCTCGCATGACTAGCTTTTTACGGACTTACTAAAGAAGGGTGCCTGATAAAAACGTCTGCCTTAAGTATAGTTTATTTTTATTTGATGCGTCTCATTAAACAAAAAAAGTAAAAAAGAACTTACTGGGATCAATATAAATTCAAAACTCGGGTCTCTGTTGTCACTAACCATAACATTATCCACTCGGCCAAGCTATCTCTTCAATATGGCAAGATTTAATTTTATTTAAATTTATATTTTTATATTTAATGATGTTTTTTAAATTGAGATCCTTTGCCGCTAACAAAGGGCTTTGGGGTTTTATAAATACTTTATACATTTTTCACCCCAATGGCAAATGGCAATATATATTACTATGTTAAACATAAGCGAATCAACACTCAAATACTCAGTGGCGCAACTATAAATTTAGGGCCCCTCAGCCAGTAAGTAAAGGGGCCCTCCTTAAATTTTTTCTCAATTTATTTTCTGAAAATACCCGTAGGGATGGGTGAAAAATTATAACTTCATAAAATGTATTTGATAAAACAGAAATTAATAACACTCATATTACTATTACCAGTAATATTATTCATATGAGTAAAATTTTTAAATCTCTTCAAGGCCCTCTAAGCTCCAAACTCCCCCTCCCTCCCCGCCTTGTGGGGTTATGCATCCCCTTAGTTACGCCTCTGCAAATATTATATTTTGGAAATGCTCAACCTGTTGTTAGAAGAAAAGTTTTCTACCAAACTAAATAATAACAATTACGAGTACAAGGTTTTTGTAAATGCAAAAGATCAGTTTTTACTAGTGCAGTTTTAAGCTTTCCTTTCAATATTTTGATACCAATAAAAGCAAATTAAGAAAATAAAATAGAGTCTATCAACTACAGGTAGGTCATTTTAAATATAAATATAGTTTTTTCAATAAATTGAGCTCTAAACATATTTTATTATATACATAATATTTAGGATTATGCTATTTATAGAGATACGTCATTAAAAAAATTAATAGGAGTCATGTAAAAAAATTTAAAAAAGATTTTAATAATGTTAATAGAACAATTATTGTAAGCCTTAGCATTAGAATTATACCTTTTGTATCTTTTTTGTATCTTTTTACTGCACAGGCAAACCACTAAAAAATAAAAGGGATTGTCCATAAATTACATAACGCAAACTTTTACAATAAACAGAACAAAAAAGTTAAAAAATTTTCCCTCGCAGTGGGAAATTTGAATAAAAAATAAAAATAACCTATTAAGTTTAATTAAAATCGCAGCGTTAAAGAGAAAAATTTCTCCTACTTCTGTTTTTAAAATATATTTTGCGTTGCATAATTTATGAACAATCTCAAAGTGCAATAACAGACCTCATAAACTTGGCAATAATATTGTAAAAAAAATACAAGATCATATTTTTGCCTTCAAAAGAAAAGAGTCTCACTATTTGTCAGTAAAAAGTTAATGGGTTTGCCAGAATTTAAATATAAACAAAATGTATAATGGTATGTACATATATATTAGGGTGTTCCAAAAAAATGACTTTTTTGAATTTCAACTAACATTGCTTATCATATGGTGCCCCAACCTTGATATTACTAATAATTTTTTTTTTCATGATTAGATCACTCCATGACTTCCCTCAAGGGTCCACAGGTCATTTTTTGCCTATTTTTTGCTAACTGGCTAACTGAGGGGAGTGTTACCATTATCCAAATTAATTTTTCTTTCATTTTTTGTTGTTTTATCTTTTTGAAGAAAATAAAAATAAAATGTTTAGCTTAATTTGTTTGTTTATTGGAACAATAAAGATAAAAAAATTCGATTTATTTTACTATATTTCACTATCTTTTACTACCTTTGCTTTATGTACCATTTGAATGTGTTTTCAGTTATATTTTAAATACTCATATATTTTTTTTTTTTTTTGTCAACACATATTTTACCTTGTGTATGCAATTTGATTTTTAACTTATATTTTGGTTATCATTTATCTTTTCCATTAAAAAAGAAGTTGAATCTCACTCGGAATAAGACTGAAGTATTTCTAGTTAAGAAAGCTTGGGAAAATCTTTATTGTTCTAAACTTTCTACTGGCTTAGAGGTTTTGCAATACAACCTATATCTAAAAAACTTGAATTCCAAAGTAAAGAAAACAGTTTCATTTAGGTTTCATATCGAAATTATTTAATTGAGTTCAGATGCCCTCCACAAGCTGACTGTTGTGTAATGTCTAAATTGGTAAGGCCATGGAATCTTGCAGGATTTCCTATCATAACCTTGGAAAATATCAGGTAAATTATGAATTCAAAATTTATCAACAAATTTATTTTTATCTTTATTTTAAACATAGAATAAATTTTGTATTTTAAAGAAAGAAGATTGATGAGCAAAAAATGAAGATTGATTGAGCAAAAGGAATAACACAAAAATAGTAAAAGGAACAACCCAACAGATACAAAAAGGAATGAGGAATTTTTTGAAAAAATGTTAAAATGCTTTTGGATAAGTAAGAAAAAAGAAGAACTAATTGAAGATGTTATAAAAGACAGGGGGAAGGACATCCAAATCCAAAAATGAAGATATCGTGTTTATCTTGGACCAACTTGGAAATAGGATGGAAAAAATAGGAACAAATGATAAAAGGTTTAAGAGATCTTGCAAAAAATTGTGTTCCACGTTAAACATGAAAATTAAACTAAACAATGGTAGCAATCTATATGGTTTAGAAAACTCTTCAAGTAGTGATAATAATTCTGACTGTGAATATGTAGCAGATATAAAAAAAGAACAATCTGCCTCTGTTATTTTGTTACCAAAAAATATTTAAAAAAAAACTACTCTCACAGCAATAGGTGAGGGACTTTCAGTTATACTATTGTATTCCAATATTAAATGTTATGTATATTTTGAAATTACATATATTAATGTTCTTGTCATCTGCTTTTGCACAGTCTTCGGCTGGACTTTTTTTAATAGCTCTAATCCATTTATATTTGTAGTCTTTAATGTTTTTGGGTTATTTTACATTGAACTTAAGTTTTCTTTTGACAAGAGTCCAATATCTTTTGATAGGACGTAGTTTGGGGCACTTTGGTGGGTTGCAGTGTTTTTTAATGATATCTACTTTTTGTTTTCTAAGCTAGTTTAAAGTTGTCCCAGAGTAGTGACATGATGCTAAATCAGGCCAAAATAGCGGGTTATTCATGTGTGTTCTTAAAAATGCCAAAATAGATTTTAGGCATTCTTTTATGTTACCAAAATATACCAAAAGTTACCAAAATATACATTGTATATTTTGGTGTTAATTGTTCCGGCAGTCACAAAACAAGAACTTGTTCCATCACATTCTAATTGCTTGCCAAACTAAGAATTTTCTAAGCGAATTTTTGCATTCTAATTCATTTAAAATTGGAATTCAGTTTCTTGCGATTAATTGCTGAATAAAACTGTTGTCCTGGAAGAGATCAAAAGTATGCCGCTCAATAAGTTTTATTGTCAATAATCGAACAATATTTTTCAACCCATAATTTTTTATAGAGCAGCTTGAAAAAATTGAAACATTTAATAAATAGAAATTTTTGGTTTTCTGTCTATGGCATGTTTCACTTTTTTACTAAGATCTCATTTAACAAAATTTTTTTTTCTTCTACTTCCTGATTTCCTTTTGATTGTACCAGTGTCCTAAAGTCGTTTCACAATGCTCTGCACTGTTCAAAGCAATCTGCAACGTTTTAGAAATTGTTTTGTTTGATACACCAGGACTTTTAACAAGAAAATGCAATATTTTTTATCGCTTTTTATTAGATGTAGCAGAATTCCATTCTGGCTAGAACTTGTGACTTTTAGGTCATTCCAGTTGCACTCCTTTGTAGCAGCAATCCCTTATATCTGCAGGCTATAATATTTTCTGACCAAAACTTGTGACTTTTAGGTCATTCCAGTAGCACTCCTTTGTAGCAGCACTCCCTTGTAGCTGCAGGCTATAATATAGTTGATGTATGTTCTAAAGCCAATAAATATTCTTTATGTTTATGTTAAAAAGTCGTGAGCGATTCTTCCCACAAAAGTGCAACAAGCAATAAAATAAAACGATTTTAGGCCGCATATCTGTAGCTTTGCCTATTTTAATTTACAATAATTACTTATGTAAAGATTTCTAAAAGTTTCAAAATATTGTTATGCAAAAGGAGTTGCTATCCAGTTTTGGGCAACAAACTAACTCTTTTTTTATCAAAAATGATTCCTGTCTATATATATATTAATATATATTTATATATATATATATATATATATATTATATATATTTTAATGTATATATATATATATTTTAATGTATATATATATATATATATTTTAATGTATATATATATATATATATATATATATATATATATATATATATATATATATATATATATATATATTTATATATAAATATATATAGATAGAGATATAGATATGTATATATAAATATAGATATATATATATATATATATTATAGGTTGTAAATATATATTATGAAACCAAGATGCTGAGGTGCAGGCTTTCACTTTCAATCTTGAAAGTAAAAAACTGCATAATTATAAATCTTAGTTTAAAATTTAAAGTTTAAAATTTTTTCAACAATTCCGGCAAATCTGGTTCCGGCCGCAGTTCAAAATTTCACGGCTATTTTTTATTTTGATTTGTTGACATTTCAATTAAAACTAATTGTTTTAAAAACAGAGTTCTTTAAATTTTGAGTAACACTCATTCAATGACATTTTAAAACAATTAATTATTTAAAATGATGCACGGTTTCTGTAAACACCACATCAAAACACTTGCAGATTCTTTCTGGTACATGTCTTATTTAGCAACGATTTTAATGTTTCTTTTGAATACCCACAAACAGACACCTGTTCAAAATTTAATGAAATAACAGTGTTTAATTTAACGGTCAGACATCGCTGCCTCTCGAACCATTCTTGAGACCTGCTGGAGGAGGACAACAAACGATTTTTGATTTTTTCATTAAAAATAAACAATGGTTGGTTGCTCCCATAAATCAGATCTCAAAAACAGTCTGGGGGCGGCTATGTTCGACCGTTAAATTGAGGCCTGAAATAATAATAAGTATTAAAAAAGCTGCTAAAGAACATACCAAAAATCCTGAAATCCTAATTAGAAAAAGACGTTCATTAAAGAATGGCAGAATTTTTTTATAAAATAAAACAAGAAGCCTGATTCTTAGCAATTAAATAAAAAAAAAAATTTTATTTAATTGCTAATAAAGACTTTTATTACAAAAAAAAAATTAATATCCACTTGCTCTCAAGCAATTAGGTTTTCATCTATATATATGATAAAACTGGTGCGGTTGTGGTGCAGTGATGACAGCGATTGCTTTATGAGCAGAAGATCTAAGTTCGAAACGAGCTCTGGACATACTTTCGCATCACGGTAAGGAAGGAGACGTGAACTTCCTGGTTAAATATACTTCGGCGGTGCTCTGTGATAAGACTTCGGCGGTGCTCTGTGATAAAAAATAAATTAATAAATATCCTTAGAGTATAATTTTTAGGAATATTCAGAGTAAAAGGATAAGAATTAATTAAATGATAAATAACACAATGAATTTTAGAAGATGGCACAAGAGATGCTTGCTCCTTAGAGCAGTGCCCATTATAGTATTTATAGAAAATAGAAAGAGAAACAACATTAACACGATGCGACAGTGGTTGATGCTTGACTGCAAGAGCAGGTCCAACTATGTTAACAATGCTTTTGGCATTGTATCTAAAAAATTAAAAGGCATCATTTTAAGATCCACTCTAGATAGGGAAACAGTATTCCACACAATAACGGATTTGAGATTTATAGATATAAAGAATAAAAAAGTAAGAAAGTGGCAAGTACAATACAGAGACTCAACCTTAGTATGTGCTAATTTTGCAATGAATTTAATTTATGGTTTCCAAGAAAGATCAGAAGTAAAAGTTAATCCTAAAAGAGGAAGGGTAGATGACTCATCGAGTACAATAGCGTTTGTAAAAACAGGAAGATCTAGATTATTGCAATAACTTTGAGCTTTTTAAAAATTGATTTTTATCTGAGTTAAAGTTCAGCAGCATCATGCTGTCGCAGAAATTAAATTTTTTTCAAGCTTAAATGCCCCCTTCCCCCCCCCCCCCTCCTTCCCTCAAGTAATCAGAGAGTGTTGGCTGATTATCAAGACATGAATAAATGGTAGTATAATCAGAAAACAACGCCACTTTAGAGTAAGAGTTTCTGGGAGATTGTTCATTAAAATAGTATTGGGCCAAGAATAAAATCTTGGGGAACCCCTCAAGTTACAGGTAATTAAAAAAATTGCTATCCATCAAAGACAACTTTTATACTATGATTAGTAAGGAAGGATTTAATAGTCTTAAAGATGTTAGCTGAAACATAATTATTTTGATATTATTTATTGTATAAACTTTTATTTTTCGGATTAAACAGCTACAATTACAATTTTCATATCATGTAAAAAATACATGAATAAAAGTTACATAGAATACATAGGGGCGTAAACATAAACATGATAAATAACGTATTTTATAATTTTAAATATTTTTTTATTTTATAATATGTATTTACTGTTCTAATCAGTCAGGGACTCAAAGAAGGTAAGGATGATGTGTTTAATATCACAACCTTTTCATAGACCCTCTATAGTCACTTATTATAAAAACACTTTAATTTTTAAAAAATAAAATAAAAATTCAATAAAAACAAAGCTCATATTATTTTAGTGAAACAAATTTAAAAACAAAAAGTATTAAAACAAGAAAAATAAGATAAAGAAGAAAAAATAAATAAATAAATAAATAAGTACTGTAAACAAATACAGTAAACTTCAAAATGTATGTCAGGAATTAAGAAAATACATTTTAATTTTCTGTTTAAACGATGAAATGCTTTTTAGGTCTTTAATATTTTTATTTTGGAAATGATTCCATATTGATGGGCCGTGGTTTGTATTTAATAAATTTGACTAATGTGATTTAATTTTCTCTAAGTGATAGTTGTACCTAGTATTTGAACGCAAATTATATTTTTAAGAAAATGATCTCAAGAAAATATCTGAAAAAACGCTAGGTAGGAGATTGTTTTATACTATACATAAGAATTAATATCTGTAATGTGTTAAGATTCTCAATATCTAGAACCGTCATGCTTTTCATCACCGGGGCCGGGTTTACTAACCTATTTAAATAAATTATTACTTTGCATTCATGGTTTTGCAGGCTTTGTAATTTTAGCAGTTTTGTTTTATGGCTGGCCCATACAATATTTGCGTACAAAAGTTGACTATTTACAAGACTAAAGTAAAGCATATTACGAAATTTACTATCGAGAAAAGATCTTGACTTATACAAAACACCTATTACAGAAGACATTTTTGTTTCAAGAAGAGCATTATGGTTTCTCCATGACAAATTTTCATCAAAAAGCACTCCCTAAAATTTTGTACATTATTCTCTCAAATACTTTTGAAAGTACTGAAAGAAGAGAAATAGGTCGGTGAAAACCTTATTGCAATCCCTTTTTTTGAGAATCGGATTAATTTTGGCTAACTTAAGTTTGTTACGGAATATACTATTTTCAAATGAAGATGATATAAAATAAAATAATGGTTTACTAATGCTGTCCATTATATAAATAGCTACATTACTGGAAATACCATCTTATCCACATGACTTGTTGCGTTTAAGTTCAATAATTGCTTTATTAAATTCATGTTTAGTTATCTTTTCATTATTTATACTAGTGGCGAGTTG